CCTCTAGCGAAATAGGCACAGCTTAGTCACGAATACAAGAGTGGAAGTGCATTAAAGCGGCGTTGCCGGCCGCCGCTGCAAACTCGACACTATCGGGAACGAAAATAAAGTGAGGCGCTTTCCCCCTCTCCTACGTCCTTGCCTACGTGTACGCGCATAACGTACGCGCGCACGTAAAAGCGTGGCGCGGTCTTAAATGTTTCAGATGTGAAAGAAAGAAAAAAAAGAAAGAGAGAGAAAAAAGAAAAGAAGAAAGATGGAACGTATCTCTCGTCTAACGCGTTAGACGCGTCTCCTTCTCTCCGCTGCCGATGCCGAATAAATGCGTCTAAGAAAAATTCTTGCCCGGCAAATTGACGGTATTAACTTGGAAAGCGATATGGCTTCAGCGCCCTATAAGAAGATACGGTATTCATAAGTACGTTACATAATATCGTCTTAAGATAATCTCGGGTATTTGAACTCTGTACACCGGGAGAAATGACACCGTGACACCGTGGCAAACGGCGATAGACGGAAACGTTTCAAAACGATCGAACGAAATCGAGAAAACGATTTACGTTCCCGTGCAGCACGGGATTGAGCAGTGGAGGAGACGCTCCGCGAAATTCGGTACAAGTGGCTGACTTCGACATTCCTATTTCACTCGACTCACTGTATATAAGGAGCGAGCGTCGCCGTTCGAGTATTTCCATTCCGAGGCCGAGTATCGAATGTGTTTCGACGCGTCCTGCCTTCCGTTTCATTTCGTTCTTTTTCGCGATGCAAGAACGATACGACGAAAAAATCGATCGTTTCGTCAATTATCCCGGTTAGAGTTAATTAAAAAAATTCCAGCCTACGAGGAGATTTTTTTAATATACGATCCGTTCTGAAAAATTAATATGATCCTTGGTGAAAATGAAGGAAGAGTAGTAAAATAAAATTGGGTAAAATTTATGTATCTTTTCTTTTTTTTTTTTTTTTCGTTCGAGATCCTCTCCTCTCTCGTTTTGGTTCGACCTAATTCGTGACGTAGTTGTGGCGCGTAATTATTAGCCGATTTTGATACTTAATGATGCCAATTTAACGGATCACTATTACGAGAGGATTAAAGGTAAATGAGATAGTTATGGAACAAATAGTTACGAAAATAATTTTCCTTGAATTATTATTTACGTTTGATAATGATATATTTTTAAACGATCCTCATTCGACGAATATAATAAATTTTCACGTGTTTTGTTTCAAAATCGGAAGAAATTATTTTAATTAACGGCAGAAAAATATACACGTACGTTATATATAAGAAGAAGGAATATAATTTCAGAACGATCGTTTCACGTCGAGGATTTATTTTTACGGTTTCAGAGTCCAACACCGCCGCAATACGTTTTCTGGTATCATAATAATCGAATGATAAATTACGACACTACGCGAGGCAGCAGCGTAACCGTACAAACCGATTCCAGCTCGACTCAAAGTCGACTGACGATTCGCCAAGCGGTTGAATCGGACACAGGCAATTATACGTGCAGCGCCTCGAATACCAAACCGGCATCCATCTATGTCTTTGTCACAGAAGGTAAAAATATTCATTTAATAATTCCTCCTCTGATTCTGTTTTCTCCTTAATGAAAAAAAAAAAAAAAAATAGAAACAAACATTCCTGTTTTCGACGCAAAACAACTTTTATGCAAGATTCAGTAAATAATAAGATTTTTCCTTCTTTTCATTTCGATTAAATTGAAATTGTTGCGACTGTAAAAAATCGAATCGCTAATTGGATGATCGTTTCAGGTGACAAAATGGCAGCCATACAGCGGCGCAAGACGTCGGCCGCGAAGAAAAATTTCTGTGAATTGCTAGTACTAATTGTCACCATTGCGATAGAGGTCGTTTTAACGCGATAAGCGTTTCTCTTCGATATGTCCATTATTATTATTACCGTTACTTCCGTTTGTGATAGATAGGCTACTATTTCTGCGATTTTAACCCCTTCTCTATTCATTCTCCTTCTTTCCCTTTTGAAAGCTGAACATCGTCGTATCCCGTCGTACAACCGAGCATCTTATTTTTCTCCGCATTTTTCAACACCATTTCTTCTCTTTCGTTTCGTCTCTTTTATAATTTTTCAATCTCCATGCCATCGTTATTCTCCCACTCCTTCTTTCCATTCTCCCTCTTTCATTTCTCCCTTCCGTTCAAATTAACCGCGTTCGTACAATCTCGTTAAGTCTTGTCAACCCGTGTCATCTTCATCCTATAATATTTTCTTTTCGATCGTCGAAACCGAAGCCGCCGGTGGCTTGAATTTATTTCGACATACGAGATTTTCATGGTGGATCGTTCTTGCGTGTGTCCACGTGTTCTCTTCGACGTGCGGCTGATATTGTAGAAAAAAAAAAAAAAGAAGAAGAAAAAAAGAAGAGGAAAAAAAGATCTTCATCGGTAATCACAATTTCTCTCTCTTTCTCTTTCGCTCCTCTCCCTTGTCCATTCTGTATCCTTCGAGTTTCCCTCTATCCCAAGTAGAATTTGTCCGTTTTAATTTGAAACTAATACACGTAGTATTTCCTTCCCGCCACGAAAAAAGTATTTCGAAACGAAAATGAGAGAACCAAACGCGAGATGCGTATGCGCCATACGCGAACGCTGTCTCAGTTTCAATCATCCAGGAAGAATGAATAAGAATCGATAAGTGCAATAAAAATTTATAAGTATACGTTTAAATAAATAAAGAAACGAATCGTATTGAAGTAGCGCGTCTCTATCTTTGTTCGTTGTAAAACTTTTTTTTTTCTTTTCTTCAATACCTGATACCGACTTTTTAATTATCTTAATTATCTCTATTAAACTACGTGAAAAGAAAAGGAAAAAAAAAGGGAAAAAAAAGAAGAAAAAAAAATAAATAAAAAGAAACGAAATCTGTGATCGCGTCAGTTTTTATATACATATATACATATATATATATATATATAGCCGTTTTACAGATTCGCTGTAAGATTATTTTTTTTCGAGCGAAAAATTCCAATTGAAGTCTTATTATTCGATGATCGGCGGGCACACGCGTGGATCTCTCGGGGAGAAAGGAATGGATTAATTGTAATCGCGATATTTTTCGAAAAGCAATACGAATCCTTGCGTCACGTCGATTTAGCTTTGAAAAAAAAGAAGAAAAAAGAAAAGAAAAAGCGACGATCACGATAGAAATCTTCCCGGATTCCGTTTCAAATATAGTCGTGCAGAGCAACACGTTGCTACGTCGTGGCAGTTTTCCACGGCAGTTTCGCGTGGCTCTCGTCACGAAACAAACACGAATTAATCACGAGAGCGTATCGATGTATTCGAAGTTCGAAATTTCGACGGTTTTACGACGAGCATCGAAACGAATACGCGGAACGTATTTTCTAACAAACCCCTTCGCCTCTCCTTCGATCCTCGTATCATTCACACGCGTTTCCTTGTTTGATTAATCATCGCAAGAGACGTTTCAATTTTCAACGTTTCATAGTGCGCAATAATATCGTAGATCCGCGTAAAAAGATCGATATTTCTTCCTACTTGTGCATTTCTTATCTCCACCTCTCTAATTAATATCGTTGTTATACACAAAAGTGGATAAATTGTACGTAAACATTGGAAGATCGACATTGAATTTATTCTTAAATAATTTACACCGTTCTCGAAATGTTTCGTCTCGAATTTTTATTCGAAACCGAGATGTGAATGAAATATATATTATTATGATACGACAGGTAATACCGAATATTGTTCCGAATTTTCGTTTCAATGCTGATACATAAAAGAAAACCATCGAAAATTTTGTACTTTCGATACGAATTTAACCCCGAAAACTGGAACTTCGCATAAACGATTGTACGACACGTATGTATTTTCAATTGTCCTAGCGTTTAAAATAAGTCGAGGATTAAAAAAAATATTATATTGACGATGATATGAAAAGAAACAGGTTTTTTTTTTTCTCTACACAATTTATCAATCAATCTTTCGACTATCCGTAGGAATTGTTGTTGTACTATTATCGACATTTCGTCTGCATTTGATAATCATTTGAAACGATTTGTTCACGTATTGTGAAAAAAAAAGCAAGTCTTTGTTTTCGATTAAAAAGGAAAGGAGAAGAAGGAAGGGAGGAGAGAAAGGAGAATGGAAAATCGCGAAAATAGAAGAGAACTTAAATGCGGACGAAAGGTTAAAAAAAAAACAGGGATCAAACGACAAAGTATTATAGACGTAAGAAATGTAAAGGGAGATGTGCTCGTATAAAATCCAGAAGCTGCCATTACCGTTCGACGTAGCAAAATCTTCGGATTGATCGTTTCATAATATTTTCGATTTTACGACTGTTCGAGACAGATCTGCGTATATTAGGTATATTAGAAAACTCTGAATTATTACGTATATATAACGAAGTTTTCTTATTCCAAGTGAACGATTATTCCATGTGAACAGGATCGCGTGCGTGTCGCGTGACACCGCTATCGATTGAACAGAGAAACGTAGAGAATGAAAACGGGATGGAGGGGAGGGTCTAAGAAAAAAAGGAGGGGAAGTATAATAAAAGAAGCCATGAGACACGAAACTTGATTCGATCGATTCATTTACTCGCTTCCTTGCTTTCACGTTGTTTGACCCATCGTCGTAAAAACTGTGTTTGCAAACGAAAAATGATATTTTCATCCGATAAAAATTTTTTCTCCACTTCCCTTAAGTTAAGTTGGTTTAAGAAAATACACGTCCCTCGACGATTGAGCATCGTTTTCGCATCGATATATAATTAATAAGGGAAGAAAAATAACCGATCAATAATTATATATTTAACAATTCGGATCACTATTTATACGAAATTAAATAATATTAAAGAAGAAACGATGTTGTACGCGTTGGAAAAAATGAATAAACCTTCGAACACTCTTCGGTAAAACTTTTGTCTAGAACCTTCTAGAGAATAAATGAATAAGATAAATAACATAAAATAACACAAATGCAAGAGAAAGAGAGAGTGAGAAAAAGATATATTGAAAACGATTTGATCTCTTTTGAAATAAGTAACAAATTTAATAGAGAATGTAAGATCGATAGGATATAATAAATAATAAGACTTTAATACACTCGAAATAATTTGGATCGTAATTTTACGCATATGTCGCGTAATGTCTGCGTGTAACATCTCGAATCTTGAGGCATCGATAGATATGTATCTGCCATAGAAAATCTCTGTGTAATTTCAACACCATGCGTATAATGATGTTTTGTAACTTCTAAGTTCGTTGTGTAACGAAAAAAAAAAAAAAAAGGAAAATCAACACTTTATCGGTATATCAATATCGATCGTTTGATCCTTTTAATTTCGTAATATTTTGCGTAACTCGAGAAACATAAAACACAAACACACGATACAAACGTATACAAACGGTGAATGAAAAAAAAGAAAAAAAGAAATACTTTCTTACGTTGATCGACATTTTCTTTCTACGCCCGCCTTCTTACGAACATTTGTGTCCTTTTATTTCGAACATTTATTCATAAATCCGTTGGAACCGAATTTTAATAAAATCCACAATATAAAACATCGATTTTTTGGTGTCTGTATTATGCTCCGTTGAATTTTCATATTCACCGCAACAATAAAAAAAAATTGAACGAGGAGGAAGAGGGAAAGAGAGAATAAAAGAATGGAAGATGGGAAAAATTATGAAAGAAAATATAAAAGTAATATTTCTGAACCGTGTAGTTAATTGTCTTCGTTAAGGTCTCGATGACAATATCTTTTAGTTCTGTAATAAATCATCAAAGTCTACACGTGCGTGTACGTGCGTGCGTGGTTGCATGCGTGTAATATAAGTCTGATTATTATAAAAGACCAACTACGTCGTCCTAATAATAAAATAAATACAGCTCGTTTGTAGATGGTTCACAATCAAAAAAAAAAAAAAGAATTTTGCGTGTATAAGCGGAAAACGTATATATGAATTATATAAATATATAAATATATTGTGAAACGTAAGAAAAATATCGAATGTAAAAGGAATAATTAGACGAGAAAAAGTTGATTGTCGATAAATTTATCTTGAAAATTTTTCTGTATCTCAAAGATATAGCACGTGAGAAGATGAAACATGTTGATCAAATACTGCTTATTGCTTCATGATCGGTCGTTGCAATAAGTATTTGTGATAAATTGTTTCGTTAGAATCATTTAAAAAGGAGAAATTTATTCGGCATATTTGAAACGGTGCAAAACGATTTTTCTAGATTATGTCAAATTAAATAAAACCGATCAATAAACTTATAGTAAATCTCGTTTCGGGCGATATACTTTCGTTCATTCATAAATCAATATAAAGAAAAAGCTGCAAATTTTCTGTCGGTTTTACTTTTCTTTGATATTCATTGCAAAAGAAAAATGAAACAAAAAAAAAGGAAAAAATATGATCCCTATATATTCGATAACTTTCCTTGTGATTTGACAAAACACTAAAAATGATTTCCTTTAAAGAAAAATTTCAATGAATCTTAAAATTAGAATCGTTAGCTGATGTAGCATTCATTGGTACCGAGAAATTTCTTAATTCAAAGATCCCGGATTCTTTAAATCTAGATTCAAAAAGATCGTCTTTATCTTCAAAAAAAGAAAGAAAAAAAATAATGAAAATTAATCAATTGATCAGTTTTTGATTGTTCTTTTCTAGATTGTGAGAAAACATGATTGATAAAAAAAATAACGGGTAGAGATTTTAAAAGATTTTAAATTACACCATTATCCTCGCATCCTCTGCAACATTTTTCTTACATTTCAAGGGACACGAGCGTTCTTGGTTAAGCACATATGATTTATCCTTCAAGAAAAAAAAGGTGAGCTCATTATTTTTTCTTTACACAAACGATTCATGTAAAAAAAATTTTATAAATTATAGTACTTGGAAAAACATAAAACAAACTTAAACATTTTTATTTCTGTGAATAATTAAAAGTACATATGTATATGTGTGCAAGTTAGAAAAAATCATATCAGAAATATAATAATTAAATATTTAAAATTAAAATTTTTCAATGTAATTGAGTAATCAATAACAAGATGAAAATTTCTTATAATTTAATTTTAATAATATTAATTGGAGAGTGAAAAATGCAATACTAAAAAAAAAAATAGAGTAATTTTAAAATATCAATAATTACAAATGGTTAAAATTAAAATATATAAAAATTTTAAAATTAAACAAAATTAAATAAAATTAAACTTTGAAAAACACAAAATACATTAAAAACTTGTAATAAAAATATAAATTGAATAAAATCCAAAAGCTTTAAAAAGAAATTCAAAGTTTATTACAAGATTGAATATATGAATATATTTATACATATAATTATATAATACATTTTTAATTTTCATACATTAAATATATATTATAAATTAAAAACCTGAGTTTTAAAATTTTTTACTAAAATATAAAATTAATAAATATAAAATTAAAAGCAAAAAATATTAAGCTAATAATTTTAAACTATTTTTTAACTATATTCAACTTTCATTTAATTCAATGATAACTGCCAACAAATTAATTTTTTTGAACTCTTTAAAATTTAATGAATATCATATAATAAAAATACAAAAAAGTCTAACAAAAAATATAGATTTATCTATTATTCATTGATATTAATCCAGAAAAGTTCAATATCTCAAACATTTAAATAATAATAAATACAATGTGTAAAATATTGAATATGCATCATTAAATATGCATCTTTATTAATTTTTTCTGAAATGAAATGAAAAAATGCAAGAAGTAGATATTAAAAAATGTGCTTTTATATAATTACTTATGAACGATGTTAATAAAATCTCTCTCTTTTGTGTAATTATGCAATATAGATTATTGTATGATAAATAGATTTAAAAATTATTAATAATTATTCTACAAATTCTGGGAAATACAATATATGATTTATTAATATTAAAATTATGAATAATAATATATTTTAAATTAATTCTTAATAAGAAGTTAAGAACTTAAATAATAAATTTCATTTAATATATAATAATATATAATCATAATTCTTTCAGTAAATTATTTTTATTCTTTTTAGTTCTTATCTTTGGCAGATGAATGATTCAATGATTCTATTAGATATTATTATAAATATCTAATCAGATCAAATATAATTATTTAATTTCAAAGCTTTTTTAAACATAATCATGTAATTTATTAAATTTATGTATTAATTTATTAAACAAATATTGTAAAGTGATTTGATATTATGTAATATATACCCATTTATATATAAAAATCTTATAAACTATTCTAATTTATAATAATTTTTTACTTAAATATTATTCTTAAATGAAAAATAATAATTTGGAATAAAAAAATTTTTTATAGTTACAAATTTCGCTGTTCATATCATTTAATTGTAATTGTTTTTTTTCAAATTTCAATTTTTTCAATTTTTCAAGTTCTAGTAAAATTATTTAAATGTTTTAAATGACTTATTCATTATATTCACATGCATTGTGCATAAAATCGTTGTAAACAAAATATTTCATAAAATGTAATAAATTTTCAAAAATATAAAATTTCTTAAAGAAGAATATAATTCTAAGTATTATTATATTGTAATTAATATTCTTAATTATTAATAATATAATTAAAATATGTAGTAATATAATTGAAATAGATTGAATTTCGAATTCTACATCATAATTTTTCAACATTTTTATGTACATGAATATTCTAATATTTGTTATAAATAATTTACATATACATTTTTTATAAAATTTTCCATTTCGTGTAAGTATATATACATATATATACACTTATATATATATATATTTTTTTATTTCTATTATTTCAAAAATGCACATAATGCAGATAATCTTAAATTATCTCATTTATCATGAATCTCATTTTTTGAATACAAAGCATATACTTTTAAAAAAACATTTATATTTATAATATATGTAAAATGAATAGAATAGAGCTTATATATATAACAAATTATAATAAATCTATAAAAGAAATCAATAAGCGTCAATATCTTAATTATTATTATATATAAAATAATTTAAAAAAAAATTATATGAAAAATAATTACTTTTTACTATAAAGCATAAATAGTGATTATATAATGATTATAGCATATATATTAATTTTTATACTTTGAGAATATTAAATAACACAAATTAACTTTATATGAAGCTCTTTTGTAATTAATAATACAATTCTTTCTTTCAGATAACATATATAAATCTAGATAACAAAAAATATATATTTTACAATACCATTACATTGCTATGATTTTAAATAGATAATTGTTATCTTCATATAGATTACATAGTAATCTTTGCAATGAAAAGTATAAAATTGCTTCACTCTTCTCGTAAAACCGTTAAACATTTTTTGAGCAATTCCGCATGTGCCTACAAACAAAAATATTTTTACAACAATGAACAATTATATAAAAAAAAATGAAAATGAAAGATAAAAATAATGAAAGAAATATGAAAACATCTTTACTTTTGCATGTTTTATTTCAAGTTCTGTTAATTCAATCAGATTCTTTCTAAATGCAGTTACTCTTCTCGTTTTAAAATCCATTAGCTCTATAATATAAATTAAAATATTATTTATGACCATTTATTAAATAAATTGGAAAAATATGTATAAAATATATTATTTTTTACCTTCTTTTCCTTTTTCTGACATTTGCTCAAATTTTTCACAGGCTTCTGTTTGAGCTTGTTCCGCCTAAATTAACAAAATCGAAAATAATTATAAATAAATAATATTATTAATTTTAACAACTATTTTGCATCAATACAGATTTTTTTTATTCTTTTATTAGAGTATCTCTATCACGAGATACTTTATACAAAATAATAAAAATAATAAAAAACATGCAATTATTTTAATTATAATATTATTTATATTTTTCACAATTTTATTATAAAATATATACTTTCAACATTTGGTATTTTTTTCCTTTTTTTATCTTTTTTTTATAAAATTTTTAGATATTTTAATTTTTTTACTTGAAATTAAATAAAATCGATATAATAAAAAGAAATATTCATGCAAATCTATTTCATGCATGTTTAATGAAATAATAATCTAAAATTTACGATTTCAATTACAATTTTCAATTTCTCTTTCTTCCTTTAATATATAATAATTATATCATCCTATGAAAATATTATTGTTTACAAAAAAGCGCATTATGCAATTTATAAAATATTTTATAGTTCCAATAAACATTGTTATATATATAATTTTTAAAATAAAAAATATTTAAAACAATTATATACTACAAGGCGGCAAACATAAGAATGGAGAAAAACACACCTCAGCAACCTCCACTGCCTTGATAAGCAAAAAAATTAAATTTATAGTTAGATGCTAATAGTATATTACATAGTATATATATATATTTTTTTAAGAAAATATATAATGAATATATATATATATATATATATACCATTTATTATTAATGTTACAATATTATAAATAACATACTTACAGCATGAACATCTTATTTTTGGCACGAGCTTTTTCAAGAGCACGATTCGCAGATTCATATGCATGCAGAGCTTTTAATCTCCTAAACAAAAGTCGTTTAGCTGCGGCTGTATCTCTCATGTAATAACGTAATGTATCTGATAATTTTAAATCTTCGTCAGATGCTACCCGTCCCTCTACTTTCTATTAAATTTTAATATTAAAAATATAAATATGAATAAAAGAATGAAATAAATTGAATTGTAAAAAATCTTACCCTTAATTTCTCAAACATTTCTGCAATTTTTGTTAAAAATCTCTCCAATTTACCAGTATCAGTTGTAGCTAACTGCAAAAGATTTGTGGAAATTTTAATATATGAATCTGCTACATCTTTATGTTTGGTTGTCTGTCGATCTGCGCGAATTGTTGCTTCTTTTAAATTATGATGATAAGTTTGTAAAAAAGACATTTCTTGATCAAAGAAATCATTTACATCTTTTACTGTCGCAGATAAGTAATATTCATCTGTAGTAGTAGAAAAAGATTTTACTAAACCACCAAACATTTCCATTTTATTTTTTCCTGAAAAAACAAAATATCTATATTTTTTATTTATATTATACAAATATAAATTTAATAATAAATTTTGATAAATTTTATAAAATAAAATCCTTCTTAAGAAAAATGAGTTTTTTTTTTACCTCTTACACAAAGATCTTGATCATATTCCAGAAATACTCTTAAATTATGATCATTACGAAAAACTGGATGATGTGCTAATCTAGTTAAAAACATTTCATGCATAGCAACAGTTTTTTTTAAATGTTGCCAAATATTCACTGTAAAAAAAAAATGATATCAATATATCAATATATATTTACATATTATATGTAAAATGTATTTATATTAAATATATTTTAAATTACATATATTTTAAAGTTATTGTATATAACTTACGCTTCCAATTCTTGTTTCATTTTATTAAATTCTTCACGTGTCATATTACCTTCACCCTCTCCAAGTTTTTGTAATTTTTCACGAGATGCATCAAAATCTGGTCGTGGTGGACAAGGAGGAATCTAAAAATATATATATTTTTCTACATATTATTAAAAATTGTAATTATGTACTTAGTATAAAAAATAATTAATATACATACAATATATCCAGCATATTCTTCATTTTCTTCAAATCGGTCATGTAACCAAACAAATTCTTCATGTTGTCTTACAACTAAGTTATCTGGTTTTTGAAATTCCGGTAATGTAGTTGTTGTATGTACAGTAAATTTTACTTTATCTTTTTCACTAAGAGCATCTGAAATATCCACCTGTAATGACTTATCAGAAAGGTCTACATTGTCAGCATGAATTGTCTGTAAATATAAATGAATAAAATTAGAATTAAAAATAAAAATTATTAATATTTAAAAAATAAAACATAAACAATAAATTTATATATAAAAAAAATTAAATTTTCTATTAAATGTTATTTATAAAGAATATTAAAAAGAAAATTTAAATACCTTTTTAGCAGGAACGTTATTTAAAATGTCGGCAGTATCACATATGCCGTCCTGAAACATTTTATTTAATTAAAAACTGTGTAGAAAATATTTATAACAAAATAAAATTTAAACTGCACAGTATTAAATTCGTTGAAAAGGCAGATCGGTGGATAAGTGATAACAGGTTCCACCTACCATCATGGCGTCCAAGCGTCTCTGACACGTTCTCAATTTTATAGCATTCAACTATAAGAATTAAACTGATAACAATTTTAATTGTACAGTTTAAAAATTCATTTTATACATTTAAATGAAATTATTTTCTTTTTATTTATATGTATATATACTTATATATATATATATAAAATATATATTATTTTCATCAATATAAAATTTATTATTAATAAAATGCACAATCGATTTAAAAATATCAAAATGTGATAAATATTTAAAATATATATTGTTAAATCAATTGTATTAAAAATACAATGAAATATAATAAAATTTAAAAATAAAATGATGTTTTAATAAATTTAAAATTAATTTCTTATTATCAATTATATAAATAATACGTATTATTAAATCTTTATTAAAATACAAGTATAATTTATCTATTTATAATAATTTTACATTTCGTAAAAAATAAATATATTAAATATATTAATTCAAAATTTCTTGTATTTTGTTAAATATTGAGATTTCTATTTTATACTTACAGATACAATATTTTTATGTTCACAAATCTATCAAATTTTATAAATCATTCATAATATAATAATATATGTATATATTTTTTATAATATATTATGAAATATATATTGCTTTTTATATTTTTTACTTATATTATATATTTGAAAGATGATTTATTTTACAATTTTCTTATTAAATAATTATTCATATAGTTTATGTATCGAACTCTGATCTACATAAGTAAGTACGTATATAATCTACATTATCAATAATTTATTTTAAAACTACGTGTATGTTAGTTCCAATCAATATTTTTATCATAAATTTATTTATATTATTATAATTTTTTTTTATATAAATTTGAAGTACATATTACTTATTTATAGTACATTGTTCTTCGTATGTAAGATTATATTGCATACTACAATTTCAATTTTTTTTAGAGAATGTATTATAATTAATTACTTTTACATTATAAATATATATATATGTGTATATTATTTTAATATTTTTTAGTTTGTTTTAATATTTTTTTCTACATTTGCTTGATATATGTATAATTTTTGATATCCTTCTATTTATTTAGGTTATAATAAAAAATACGTAAAACGTTTAAATATTCGTCGTTTATATAATTATATAATATTTATGTAAAATTTTAATATTAAAAAATATTCTTATTATTATAAGAAGACATTCTATTAATTAAATAAAATTGGAATTTTTTAAAAATAAAATCAATTAATTTTTTTGTTTTACGTTAAATTTATTATGAATGATTCTAATTATTTCAAATATTATTTTATATATGTTACACATAAATTTATTATATATTATCTATATCATTATTTTTTCAAAGTAACATTTCAACAATGAAGGATCAATATGATAAATTATCATGGAAAGGTAAGTTATAAAAGATATAATTTAATAAATAAATAATTTTTTAGAATTAAATTTATTAAAATTATTAAATTTTTTTTTTATTTTATTATATATAGAAGTACGAGATCTGTTTAGAACATGGAGAGAAGATAGTGAAAGACGAAGTAAAGATGTAGTTGACTTATGGGAGGCTAAGTTAATGGGAAAAATTGATCATCTTGGCAATGAAAGTATGATAAAGTGATTTTTTCTGAAATGTTTAATAATTAATTATTATTATAATTTATATATATAAATTTCAAATAGAATATCTGGTTTTGGAACAAGTCTGTATAGCAGCATTGGATTGTGATCGTCATTCTTTAGCGGAATATTGCATTAAAATATTAAAGAGAGAATTTCCTAGCAGTTTAAGAGTTCATAAATATCATGCTATGCATCTCGAAGCTTTGGAAATGTAAAATTTATTTGTGATTTAATTATGATATATTGTATATTTATATTATATGATACAAATAAAATAGAAAATATTCCTAGGTATGATGAAGCATTAGAAGTTTTGGATTCTATTATAAAAAGAGATGAAACAAATGCTGCACCAAGAAAAAGACGTATAGCTATATTAAAAGCAAAAAGTCGAATACCAGAAGCTATTAAAGAGCTTACAGAATATTTAAAAAAGTCAGTAATCATAAGTAATTTTGTTTATACTTCTTATTACAATTGTGAATATATCTTTTATCCATTTAGATTTATGAGTGATCAAGAAGCATGGCATGAATTATGTGATTTATATTTACAAGAACAAGAATATTCTAAGGCTGCATTCTGTATGGAAGAACTCATATTGCATAATCCACATAGTCATTTAATTTATCAAAGATATGCAGAAATAAAATATTCTCAGGTAACAAATTATTTGATAACATTTGAAACCTGAATTTTTTTTAAATAATAATATTTATTTATGTTTAGGGTGGATTTGAAAATATGGAATTAGCAAAAGCATATTTTTGTCAAGCTGCAAGATTGAATCCAAATAATATTAGAGCTTTATATGGTTTATTGTTGGTAAGAAAAAATTTTATTAAAAATATAATATTAAATTTTTTATGAGTTTGAATTTATAGGCATCAAATAATATTGCTACATCACCCAAATGTCCTTCTTCTAAAAAAAAAGATGCAATAAAATTAAGTGAATGGGCAGCTAATCAAATTGAAAAGCAATATCAATCAAAAGTTACAGATGAAAGTATTAAAGCATTAGAAGGATTATTAGGACAATTACAACTTGAATTTAGATATATAATTTATATATATGTACATGTTTATAAGTACTGTAAC